GAGGAAGACACAGGGGACAGTGCGGGCAGTGAGCTTGTCCGTGCCAGAGGCACGAACGTGAGCAAGGCAGCCCCAGACGTGGAACGCAGACGCGTCACCGGGGGACCCGGTCCAAAGGAGGGTCGGCGAAACCTGCGGCCGCTGGGAGCGTGGCCACAGGTTAAGCTGGTGAGCCGCGTAGCGAACAGCGAACGGCCACAGAAAATGGGGGGCATCGGCATGGATCATGGAGGTACGGGCGACCTCCATGACCAAGCCGATGCGGCGCTCAGCAACCCCATTCTGCTGTGGCGAGTCCGGCAACGTGTACGACTGGGTGATGCCCTCCGCACGACAGAACTGTCCAAGCCGACCAGAGGCGAACTCGCCGCCACGGTCGGAGTGGAGACACAACACGGGGAGACCGCGGTGGAGACGCGCAGCTACAACCCACGGGAGAAGAACGTCGGGCACGTCGGCCTTCCGCTCCAGGGGAAACACCGTGGTGTAGCGCGTGTAGTCGTCAACGAGCACAAGGAAGTAGCGCTCACCGCGCGGTCCGGGGACGGGGGCAGGGCCCCAAACGTCCAAGTGCAGGGTCTGAAGGGGGGCAGTAGCAGGACGCAGCGAGGAGGAGTGAGGAGCACGGCGGAGCCGACCCTCGACGCAAGGCGTGCACGGTGGCGCAGTCGAGGGAGGAAGGGCAGGGAGCGACGCGGGGAGACCTAAGACAAGACCGTGCTGGGACATGTGACGCAGACGCGGGAGAGCAGGGTGACCTAAGCGGTGGTGCCAGAGAAGGGAGGGGTGAGTGAGGGACCGACACGAGCAAGCTGCAGCGACCTGGGAGGACGCACCAACCGGGGGGGAAGCGGTGTGTAGGGTAAACAGACCGGACACCGGGTCCCGGGGGAACGTCGCAAGGGGGGAACCTGAGACAGCCTCAGAACAGACAGCGAACCGCTCGTGCCCGGGGAACGTGGTGGTGACGCCGAGGTCCTGGAGACAGCCGACACCAACCAGGTTCCTGGAGAACGAGGGAACGTGGAGGCCAGTAAGGGAGCCCGAGGGAACTGCCGGACAGGGAAGGGACGTAGAACTGCGCGCGACGACCGGACCCGCAGAGGGGTCAGCGAGAGAGACAACAGCAGGTGCAGCAAGCGGCGTGAGCGTGGAACGGTCGCGGAAGAAGCAGGCAGAAGCACCAGAGTCGAGAGTGAAGGACAGCGACGCAGTGGCGGAGGCCGCGGACGGAGCCGGTGCAGCGACTAGACTAGGCAACCTAGGCAGTCCTACGCCTGTCGCAGCAGGGGAAGCTAAGCTACACAAGGGTGAAACACCTAAACTAGAGTACACATGGTAGTAAGATCCATCAACACTAGAAGCGTCAGCATACAAAGCATGCAAAGCAGCACCTATCTGATCCATGTCTAACTCAAAGATCGGCACGCCCTGGCGGAGCAGGCTGTGCCAGTCAGGGAGGTCCGGGGCCGGGCCAAAGCGACGACGAAAAAGATCGTCGAGGCGGCGGAAACAGTGGGCGGTCGGGTGCGGGCGGCGGCACAGAGTGCCGCGGAGAGGCCCGGTCTGAAGCTGGTACTGGCAGGTCACAGCACTGGAGCCGCTGGTAGACGCCAAGCTGCGCGGGCCGCCACCACGGCCACCGCCTCCGGAGGTGCCGGGCCAACCAGGCGGGAGACGAGCCCACGGCTGCGGCGGGTGCTGCTGGGACGGCGGCTGCGGCTGGGGCTGGTCCTGCTGCTGCTGGGACTGCTGCTCCTGCCCACCGGTGGTAGTCCCCTCAGGCGGACTACCGTCACCACCACCACGACCACTACCACCTGCGTCACCACCCCTACCTCCCTGGCGGCCACGGCCACCGCGACGCGAGCGCTGCTGCGGGTGGACAGCAGCAGCCGTCTCGGTAAGAGGGGTCGCCGTGGCGACCGCAGCCGAAACGTCAGTGAACGTGCACGGGGATGGGGCACAACCGTGAAAGATAGAGACTGCCGGCGCACCGCTCGACTGAGCGATAGTGCGCTGGCGAGTCTCGATCTCAGTGAGGGTGTCGACAAAGGCGGTCAGGGTGAGGTCACCCGGGTGCTGGCTAAGAAAGTGGTCGCGAGCACTAGCGAGGCGGTCTGGCAGGCGCATAGCGATAAAATAGAGCGTCATGCAGAAAGGAGGGGGGAGCGCAGTGAGCTGGGCAGCAGTGCTGGCAGTGCGATAGCGAGTCTCTAGGGCACGCAAATGAGTGGCAAAATCTGCGACAGTAGGGAAGGCAGCCAGGTCTGGGAACAGCATCGGAAAGAGCAAGCGGCCAGCAGAAGCGGAGGCAGGGGTGGAATAGCGAGCAATAACGGCTTCTAAATAAGCTTTGGCCGTTTCAACAGTAGCAAAACGCGAGCGCTCAGACACAGGGAGGGCGTGACTAATAGCAACCTGAGCTACTGCATCGCGTGAGTCCCAGACCGCACAGGCTAGCGCAGCAGTAGAGAAAGCCTCACGGTCATCAGAGGAGGGGTCAGCAGGGAGGGGAGTAGGTGCAGGGGGACGGGGGAGCAAGCCATCAGCATGGACAACCAGAGAGTGGCCATCCTGGCGCTGACCTGTAAGCTGGCGGCGAAGATCGGAGAGCCAGGCGGCGAAGTCAACCGCGTGGCCCTCAGCGTCCAGGCGGAGCACAAAGTCAGCCATCGTGCAGGGTCAGCGGCACAGCTCCTCAGCGACACAGCGGCACAGCAGCACAGCTCCTCAGCGGCACAGGAGCACAGCGGCGCGGGGACACGGCGGCAGCACTCTCCAGTAGGGCAGCAGCTAGGCGTCCCAGCGCAGGCAAGCAGAAGACACAGGGCCCGAGAGGACACGGCAGGCCGAGCAGGGGAGGCGGGCAGGTGCTCTAGGGCCGGGCTGGTGCTGGGAGGGGCCAGGCTGGTGCTGCTGGGGCCGGTCGGGCACGAGGAGGGGCCGGGCAGCGCTGAGGAGAGGCCGGGCGGCGCTAGGAAGGGGCCGGGCGGCACTAGGAGGAGGCCGGGCGGCACTAGGAGGAGGCCGGGCGGCACTAGGAGGAGGCCGAGCGGCACTAGGAGGAGGCCAGGCGGGCGAGCGCTAACAGCAGGCGCGACAGGGGCCAGCGGGCGCGACGGGGCCTAAGGGGCGCGACGGGGCCCAGCGGGCACGACGGGGCCCAGGGGGGGCGCGACGGGGCCGAGGAGTCGCGACGGGGACCAGCGGGCACGACGGGGCCCAGGGGGGCCGCGACGGGGCCTAACGGGCGCGACGGGGCCCAGGGGGGGCGCGACGGGGCCTAGCAGGCGCGACGGGGCCTAGGAAGCGCGAAGGGGCCCAGCGGGCGCGACGGGGCCTAGGAGGGGCGCGACGGGGCCGAACGGGCGCGACGGGGCCCAGAGGGGGGGGACGCGACGGGGCTTAGGAGGCGCGACGATGCCTAGGAGGCACGACGGGGCTCAGCGGGCTCGACGGGGCCCATGGGGGGGCGCGACGGGGCCTAGGAGGCGCAACGGGGCCCAGCGGGGGCGCGTTAGGGCCTAGGGGTCGCGACGGGACCCAGTGGGCACGACGGGGCCCAGGGGGAGCGCGACGGGGCCTAACGAGCGCGACGGGGCCCAGGGGGGGCGCGACGGGGCCTAGGGGGCGCGACGGGGCCTAGGAGGCGCGACGGGCGGAAGCGGTAGGCGGGGGGATCCTAACCTAAGCGTGATACCATGTTAACGTAGAAACGAATGATTACTAGAGGTGGAAACCTAGAACAAATACTAGTTGGTTGTACTCACTAGAAGCATACCTCAGTCTAGCCTATAACTTCTACATCCAGGACCACTTTTTGGAATACTCCCGTTTCATATTTGCGTTCCGTTGCTCTCAACCACAAAAAACTAGCCGGTGTCGAAATTTTACCGTGCAGATTCGCGCTTGTCTGAAAATCTGCTCGTCTGAAAAGAGGTTTTAAAACACGCCCCTGAATCTCGGGAGGCCGAATCTCACTTCGCACTCCACGGAATCACTCCGAAATATTTCGCGCCAAAATTCGCGACACTGTAGCACGCGAGTTTGGAAATAGGTTGCTTGGGAAGAGGCTGGTAGGAACACGCTCTTAGTCGAGAAACACAAAGACGATTTTGTTTCGAAGCAGATACTTTCGTTACAGAGGGTAGCGCGTCTCGCGATGATAAAAAATGACGGCTTTGTCTCTACCGCATTTACGATCCAAAAAAAAAGTCAAGCCATAAACTTGTTGTCATTTCCGAGTCGCCCGAAAGCAAGAACATATATAGATAGCTACAGAGGTTTATTTTCGGGAAATGAAATGTTTAAAAGCGCCGGTTGTCGTTTGATTTTGTTTCCAACAAATGTATTTACCGGAATTGTTTTCCGCCGAATTACGACTCTACAAGTCTTGTCATGCTCGAAACAAATTAGCGCACACGCACTACAGTTTAATATTCACGTCTCATTGGCTTAGCGCCGATTCCAGTTAGATATGTCATTTTGGTGTCAAATGTTTTCGTTGGTTTTTTTTTTTTTTTTTTTTTTTTTTTTTTGCGTTTGTTAATGTTTGAAAAATGTCGCACCCGATGTGCGGCCCGCTGTGGCCTAATTAGCTTATGTGACATAAATGCGCAAGGTCCCAATTTTGGAATTTTGTGTGCGCTACGTCCAACGAGTTTTAATTTGGGAACACTGTATGTAGTTCTCTCGTACTGCGCCTGGAGCTTGGGAAAAATATCACGCCAGCCGCAATGATGATGAAATTGGGCTGGCGCGAGCGGGAAAACGTTCCGTGACGGGCGGGGGTTACTTTTACTGACCATTCGTGGAACATTTTTCTGCATTTTCTGACTAACGGTGGAATCTGACTGATGAAACATGTTGCAAACTCGCTCATTCTGATTGTTTATATCGTGTCACTGACCTTAGATGTTATCGAGGCTCCTAATACTTGATCTTCTTTTATTGTATCTACCAACTACGCAACCCATCCGACGCTATGCATCGAGCCTTATATAACCCCCCCAAAAGTCACCTTTAGGCAGCACCGTACTCGCCCCTCATGGCAATTCGTCAGACCCCGTCGCCGCCTGCCGTCGCACAATCGCCATCAGCGTCGCTCAGCAATCGCCGGCCGTCGGGGCGACACACTGTCGCGTCGTTGGCAGTCGACAAGGCCGCCGCCTCGCGCGTCACCCAGTCCTTGGCGTCCGCCCGTCCCGCGCTTCTCTTCGTGCTCGCCTCCATCATCGGTGCGCTGCTGCTGCTCCCTTCCGACCCCCGCAGGGGCGCGCTCCTCTTTGCGCCGCGAATTACCGCCGCGGAGGACGCTCCGCACGAGGCGCAACTCGCGGCGGCGTTGGCGGAGCTGAGGCGGGCGCGCGGGGAGGGGCAGGCGGAAGAGGTGGTGGCGGCGCAGGAAGTGGTGCTGGCCCGGCAGCAGGCGCTGCTGCGGCGGTACCGACAGCAGCTGACGCGAATTTCCGGGCAGCGGGGGGAAGCTCTGGCGGGTCAAATACAGGAGGAAGGCGCGGGCGTGGGAGTTGGAGAAAGGGGGAAGGCGGAGGTGGGGGGGGGAGAGTTCGTGGGGACTCGGCATGAGGGGTGCGGGGGAGGGGAGTGGGCCCCACGGGAGCCGGCGGTTGCGGAGGCGGAGCGGCTGGAGTGGCGGCCGCAGGAGGGCGCGTATCTGCTAGCGGCGTGCGTGTACGGGCGGGTGACGAACCGCCTGCTGTGTCTGCGCAACTACGTGCTGGCCGCCACGCTGCTCCGCCGCACGCTCATCGTGCCGTCCGCCGACCTCTACCGCCCGTCGCGCCGCTGGAACTCGCCGCTGGAGGCGCCGCTGGACCTGGGGGTGGTGTTCAACGCGTCGCACCTCAACGCGTGCGTGGGTCGCCCCGTCGCCATGTCGCTCGACGACCACCTGCGTGCCAGCAACGCCTCGCGCCTCGTGGTGGACCGCTTCGTCTGCTGGGCCGACCGCTGCGCCTTCCACCGCGGCCGCCCCTCCCACCCCGCCATCCGCTTCGCCTCGCGGCGCCAGGCGGGGCTGGAGGCTAACGTGACGCGGCGCACGTTCGTGGACGCGTACGGCAGCGCGGGGGGCCGCGTGCTGTGCCTGGGCGACATCTATGAGTCGCACGCGCGCTTCCTTGACCCCCCCCCGGGCTTTACCTCCAGCCTCGCCATCGGCTGGGCCATGCCCCCCCATGCCCCGCCCCCTGACCTGCAAGCAGGGGGAGGGCTGGCGGGCGGAGGGGGCGTGCAGGCAGAGGTGGCGGCGATGGGCGTGGAGCGGCGGTGCCGGTCGCTGCTGTGGCCGTGCGACGCCGTGGTGCAGGCGGCAGAGGGGTTCGTGAGGGAGGTGAGCGGCACGCAGTTCGCGGCGCTGCACCTGCGGCGGGACGACATGTACCGGCACTGTGTGGGGCAGGGCAAGTGCAAGTACTGGGCACAGCGGCAGGCGGGCGAGTGCGTGCGCCACAAGCTGCTGGGGGGCGTGCTGGACTCCGTGCTCGCGGAGCAGGCACGGCAGCACGCACACGCAGCTTGGGCGGGACAAGGCTCTGCCTCCGTCTTCCCCGGGCGGCCGCTGCTGTTCCTTGCATCCGACACGCCAGATGAGGACCTCGCTGTCTTCCTCTCCGCACTGCAGGGCGTGCCGCTGCAGCCGGAGGCCAACACCACCAGCGCGACCACCACCACCGCCGCCACCACTGCCGGCATCAGCACCCCCACAGCAGCCTCCCTGCCAGGCCTGGATGCACCCGAGTCAGTGCTGGTGGTTCGGCTGCCGAGGCTGGAGGGCAAGATGTGGGCGGAGCGGCTGAACCGCGAGGGGCTGGCAGCACAGGCAGCAGCGGTGGCGGCGGTGGAAAAGGTGGTGTGCGCCATGAGCCGGCTGTTCCTGGGCACGCCCGGCTCCACCTTCTCCCACCACATCATGCACCTTCGACTGGCTCTGCGCACCGCCTCGTGCCATGACGGCGGCTTCTGCAGAGGCCTCATGGACCCCGAGCTCCACTGACCACCACGCCATGCTGCCATGAGGCCATGCTGCCATGCTGCCATGCTGCCATGAGGCCATGCTGCCATGCTGCCATAAGGCCATGCTGCCATGCTGCCATGCTGCCATGAGGCCATGCTGCCATGCTGGCATGCTGCCATGCTGCCATGCTGCCGAGCTGCCATGAGGCCATGCTGCCCTGCTGCCATGCTCACAGGAACCAGGGTCTGCTGATGCCATGGCTTAGGGCGTATTCCTACAGCAAGGTGTTCAGTACCAGCAAACCCAAAGTCGAGTCTGAAACGCGGTACAGTAAGGTCCGAGTGTCGAAACGCGAAATCCTATGCGGTTCAATTTGGTTGTTCGCGAAGTTTGGTTTCCTGGTACTGAACGGGCGAAGTAGGTATACGCCCTTAGCCATCAACCTGTAATTTGATTGTGCCATGGCTTAGGTAGGAACCATATTCTTTCCTAATGTGTTATATTATATATACAAGGCTATGGCTTCCAAAGGTTCTTTTCCAAGTCAACAATACCATGTAACATGCTTTCCAGGCTTGAGTCCTCTGCGCCCTGCTGACTGCTGCCACAGGCAGCTGCATCAAGCCCTCCCCATGGCTCAGCTTGTGCACTCGTGGGTATCACCCCCGCCCCTCGCCACATGGTCGCTCGTCCCCGTGACCCACCGTCCATCCTCCACTGCTCCCTCCTCGCCCTGCCCTCCATGCCCCCCCCCCCTCACTGCGCCTCACTGCGCCTCACTGCACCTCCTCCCCATCCCGCGTGCTCTCTACACCTCCCTCTCCCCCACCCACCCTTGCCCATGCCTCGCCGCTGCCGTTGTGCGGCCCCAGCAGCAGCGGGGGCAGCAGCAGCGCCAGCAGGGTGGGCAGGCAGGCTGCCAGGAGCGGGGGGAGGAGGGCGGAGCGCGCGGCAGCAGCGAGGGCGGCGGAGAGCAGGTGGAAGGCCGCCGCCAGCACCAGCCCCACCTGGAAGGGCTGCCCGCTGCTGCCGCCACGCTGCCCTCCCCCGCTGCTGCGCACAATGCTGCTGATGCTGGTGCTGATGGTGCTGGTGGCGGTGGCAGGGGCAGCAGTGACGAGAACTGCCACTGCCCCCAGCTGGTGGGGGACGAGGGGGTGGTGAGGGGAGAGAGCTCTGTGGGGGAGAGTGGAGTGAACCAAGGCAACAGATTTTGCATGCCTCACCACAACACACCACCTATGCATGCCTCACCACGCCACGCATGCATGCCTCACCACGCCACGCATGCATTCCTCACCACGCCACGCATGCATGCCTCACCACGCCACACATGCATGCCTCACCACGCCACGCATGCATGCCTCACCACGCCACGCATGCATGCCTCACCACGCCACGCATGCATGCCTCACCACGGCGTAAGCAGCACATGATGCGCAGCTAGCGTCCCTCAGCACCAGATCGCTCTCTGCCTCCGCCACTCTCCTCCTCTGCTCCCTCACTCTCCTCCTCTGCTCTCGCACCCGCTGCTGCTCCTCCCACCCCCTCCCCTGCCGCCCAAACACCCTCTTCTGCCGCCCCTGTGCACCCTGCCGCTGCAGCCACGCCAGCTGTGCCTTGAGGTGCCTGGCGCGCTCGCAGAGCAGGTGGCGGGGCAGGGAGGAGGGCGGCAGGGCCACGTGCGAGGCGAGGGGCGATGAGGAGCGGCGTGCGGAGGCGAGAGGCACGTCCAGGGCCTCCAGCTTGGGGGGGGAAGGGGGAACGCGGGGAGGGGGGGGGGGGATGTGATGGGGGTGGCGTTATGGTGGAAAGCGTAGTGACAGCAAGTGGCACAGTGACTGGCATGGCTCTATGCAACCGGAGACAGCAAGTGTAGCAACGCACGGCGGGTCGAGGCATGGGGCTGGACGAGTGGCTGCACAGGAGGATAGTGGGAAGAGGGGGAGTGGGGAGGGGGGAGTGGTGAGGGGGGAGTGGTGAGGGGGAAGTAAGGACAGGGGAGAGTGGTGAGGGGGAGTGGTGAGGGGAGAGTGGTGAGGGGGGAGTGGTGAGGGGGGAGTGGTGAGGGGGGAGTGGTGAGGGGGGAGTGGTGAGGGGGGAGTGGTGAGGGGGGAGTCGGTGAGGGGGGAGTCGGTGAGGGGGGAGTGGTGAGGGGGGAGTGGTGAAGGGGGAGTGGTGAGGGGGGAGTGGTGAGGGGGGAGTGGTGAGGGGGGGGAGTGGTGAGGGGGGAGTGGTGAGGGGGGAGTGGTGAGGGGGGAGTGGTGAGGGGGGAGTGGTGAGGGGGGAGTGGTGAGGGGGGAGTGGTGAGGGGGGGGAGTGGTGAGGGGGGAGTCGGTGAGGGGGGAGTCGGTGAGGGGGAGTGGTGAGGGGGGAGTGGTGAGGGGGGAGTGGTGAGGGGGGAGTGGTGAGGGGGGGGAGTGGTGAGGGGGGAGTGGTGAGGGGGGAGTGGTGAGGGGGGGGTGAGGGGGAGTGGTGAGGGGGGAGTGGTGAGGGGGAGTGGTGAGGGGGGAGTGGTGAGGGGGGGGAGTGGTGAGGGGGGAGTGGTGAGGGGGGAGTGGTGAGGGGGGAGTGGTGAGGGGGGAGTGGTGAGGGGGGAGTGGTGAGGGGGGAGTGGTGAGGGGGAGTGGTGAGGGGGGAGTGGTGAGGGGGGAGTGGTGAGGGGGGAGTGGTGAGGGGGAGTGGTGAGGGGGGAGTGGTGAGGGGGGAGTGGTGAGGGGGGAGTGGTGAGGGGGGAGTGGTGAGGGGGGAGTGGTGAGGGGGGAGTGGTGAGGGGGAGTGGTGAGGGGGGAGTGGTGAGGGGGGAGTGGTGAGGGGGGAGTCGGTGAGGGGGGAGTCGGTGAGGGGGGAGTGGTGAGGGGGGAGTGGTGAGGGGGGAGTGGTGAGGGGGAGTGGTGAGGGGGGGGAGTGGTGAGGGGGAGTGGTGAGGGGGAGTGGTGAGGGGGGAGTGGTGAGGGGGGAGTGGTGAGGGGGGAGTGGTGAGGGGGAGTGGTGAGGGGGAGTGGTGAGGGGGGGAGTGGTGAGGGGGGAGTGGTGAGGGGGGAGTGGTGAGGGGGGAGTGGTGAGGGGGGAGTGGTGAGGGGGGAGTCGGTGAGGGGGGAGTCGGTGAGGGGGGAGTGGTGAGGGGGGAGTGGTGAGGGGGGAGTGGTGAGGGGGGAGTGGTGAGGGGGGAGTCGGTGAGGGGGAGTCGGTGAGGGGGAGTGGTGAGGGGGGAGTGGTGAGGGGGAGTCGGTGAGGGGGGAGTGGTGAGGGGGAGTGGTGAGGGGGAGTGGTGAGGGGGGAGTGGTGAGGGGGGAGTGGTAAGCGGGGAGTGGTGAGCGGGGAGTGGTGAGGGGGGAGTGGTGAGCGGGGAGTGGTGAGCGGGGAGTGGTGAGCGGGGAGTGGTGAGCGGGGAGTGGTGAGCGGGGAGTGGTGAGAAAACGATGCTGACAACATGAGAGTGGGGAAGATGGGGCTTTAGGGTTTCGGGTTTAGGGTTTCGGGTTCAGGGTTTAGGGTTTCGGGTTTAGGGTAGCACCTGAAGGAGAGCAAAGGACGCAGTTGCCGCAGTGGGGTGGGCTAAGGGCGGTGAGGAGGAGGGGAGTGAAGTGGGTGGTTGGGGCGGCGCTAGCATTGCGGTGTGCGGCATGGATGGGAGGGCAGGGGCGGTGGCAGGCAGGGGGGCCGGCAGGGGGGCAGGGGAGGCGAGGGGCAGCAAGCAGCAGTTGAGGAGGCGCCACGTGTGCGAGTGCGGCTGCCACACGCAGTGCTCCGCTGACAGCACCTGGTAGCGCGGCGGGGGGGAGAGGGGGGTGTTTTTAAGGCGCCTCAAAAAGCGGCAGGGGCGGGGGGAAGTGGAGCGGCACATGGGAGGGCAGGCAAGTGAGGAGAGCAGGGGGGGGCGGGGCATCACGATTTCCAACAGCATGCGCACGTTCCTCACAGCATGCATGCGCACGTTCCTCACAGCATGCATGCGCACGTTCCTCACAGCATGCATGCGCACGTTCCTCACAGCATGCATGCGCACGTTCCTCACACCATGCATGCGCACGTTCCTCACAGCATGCATGCAGCACATCCTACTGCTACCGTGCAGTATGCTGCCCTCCCCTGCACTCACCGCCCGCACGTGACTCACCGCCCGCACTGCACGTGACTCACCGCCCGAACGTGACTCACTGCCTGCACGTGACTCACCACCCGCACGTGACTCACCACCCGCATGTGACTCCCCGCCCGCACGTGACTCACGGCCCGCACATGACTCACCGCCCGCACGTGCCCCTCGGGTGCGAGCTGCAGCAGCAGCGCCCGCCGCATGGTGCCGCCCCCCACCTCCCCCGCATACCACACCCGCCATAGCCCCGCCCCCACCGCCCCTCCCTCGCCCCCCTTGCCTGCTGCCGCCACTGCCCCCCCTGCACTGGCTGCAGGGCTGGCGGGGAGAGGAGGGGGGAAGGTGACGAGAGGTGAGGAAGGGTGCAGGTGGGTGAGGAGGAGCGCGAGGGGGTCATGGTGCTGCTGTGCCTGGTGGGGGGGATGAGAGGGGAGGGGCGAGAACGAGTTGAGGGGAGCGAGGAGAGGAGGAAGGTACGGGGGCAGGCAAGTGGTGGGGCAGCACAATGAGTGGCGGGGCAGGCAATGAGTGGCGGGGCAGGCAATGAGTGGCGGGGCAGCACACTGCACTGCACGGTGGGTGAGGGGCAGCATGGCAGGACTGGGGATGTAGAGCGGGTGGGGGGTTGGTTGGCACCCCCACTGGAGAGTGCAAACCATGGCACGCCCTCCATGCACGTGGACGCCATGCATGCTTGCAGCCAGTGCACTACACACATACATGCCATGGCGTTACTGTGCACAGCAGCACATACATGCGCACCATATTCTCGCAGCAAGACGTGCTCCTGTGATGGCAGTGATGCCATGTCCGATGTCACCGCTGCCTCCACCATCCGCTGCGCCCTGCCATGCCATGCCATGCCATGCCATGGAGGAGATAAGATGAGCAGCATGGCTTTATGGAGCATCAACATTATGTTTAAAACCATGGAGTGAAAGTGGATGGGGCGGGGGGACAGAATGCAGCAGGGCAGATATGGCATGGCATGGCATGACATGGCATGGCATGGCATGGCATGGCATGGCATGGCATGGCATGGCATGGCATGGCATGGCATGGCATGGGATGGCATGGAATAGTGAAATACCTGCCCCAGTATGCCATGCACACCTGCCCATGGCCCACGGTATCACATGCTCATGGCATGCCAGCATGAGCGCGCCTGCCGCCACCCCCACACACACTGGCGCGCGCAGCAGTCTGCCCCACGCAACCCCACCTGCCGCCAGGGCCGCCAGCTCGTTGTGCGCCTGCGGGGGGAAGTCGGGGGGCGGGGCAAAGAGGGGGCAGTCGGGGGGCGGGGCAAAGAGGGGGCAGTCGGGGGGCGGGGCAAAGAGGGGGCAGTCGGGGGGCGGGGCAAAGAGGGGGCAGTCGGGGGCGGGGCAAAGAGGGGGCAGTCGGGGGGCGGGGCAAAGAGGGGGCAGTCGGGGGGCGGGGCAAAGAGGGGCAGTCGGGGGCGGGGCAAAGAGGGGGCAGTCGGGGGGCGGGGCAAAGAGGGGGCAGTCGGGGGCGGGGCAAAGAGGGGGCAGTCGGGGGGCGGGGCAAAGAGGGGGCAGTCGGGGGGCGGGGCAAAGAGGGGGCAGTCGGGGGGCGGGGCAAAGAGGGGGCAGTCGGGGGCGGGGCAAAGAGGGGGCAGTCGGGGGGCGGGGCAAAGAGGGGGCAGTCGGGGGCGGGGCAAAGAGGGGCAGTCGGGGGGCGGGGCAAAGAGGGGGCAGTCGGGGGGCGGGGCAAAGAGGGGGCAGTCGGGGGGCGGGGCAAAGAGGGGGACAAGGCTGAGGCAGGCGGGAGGGAGGTGCGGGAAGGGCCGGGTGGCGATCACGTCACGGGAGTGGCTTCGCCGATGGCAGCCCCAAGGTAGCTGCTGCACACCACGGTACAGGGGGAACGGGGGAGGGGGAGGGGCGTAGGGGGAGGGAGGAGGGGGAGGGGCGGGGTTGGGGGGAGCGAGGGGGCGGAAAGGGGCTTACAAGGAGGCGTGAGAAGGCGAAGAGGGAGGCAGCGAGGCAGGCGGGGGGGAGGGCGAGCGCGAGGAAGCGCGGGAGGTGGTGGAGCGCAACCAGCAGCGCCAGACGGAGCGGCGCGCCCGTGTTGGCGGCCACGCGCGCCACCTCCGCCAGCGACCCCAGCGCCACGCCCACACTCGCCGCCACGCCCGCCGCCACTGCGAACGGCCCCGCCATGCTCCGCGCCAGGTACCAGTCCAGCACGCCCCACCGCCACCGCCGCCGCTTCCGCATGCCCAATTCCTCCGCCAGTTGCGCCCACAGCTTCCGCCATGCGCGCTGGGCTTGCGGTGTGGCGGCGGCGCAAGGAACTGAATCAACCGGAAAGGCGGAGGGTGGGCGGGGAAATGCGCGGGACGCGCGTGGCCCGCGCGAAAAGATTTTGAGGGGGAGAAGACGCGGCGAGACGGCGGTGAGGGGGGGATCAAAGCGGAGGGCGGAGGAGAGGCGCGAGAGGCGAGGGCGGGTGCGAGGGGAGGAGGGCCGGCAGACAGGAGCGGACTGGCGAGAGGCGATCGGGCTGACGACGGCTGAAAGGGATTCCGCCATGCCGCGCAAAGTGGCGCATGTGGTGGCGCGGCTGAGGCGCGAGAGGCAGTAGTGGCGAGGGCGAAGATGCGGGTGGCGATGGTGGGAGTGGTGATGGTGGGGAAGAAGCGCCGCAGGGAACGCGACAGGAAGCACTGCACTACAAATTTTGCTGTTACAGTACAGAACAGTGTTCTGAATTTCACAAGATTTTGTTAGATTGGTGGAGCAACGGCAGCTACCGTTTGATACGTATACTCACACATATTGTAATGTATGTTTAATCAGAGTAGCACAGAATCGAATGTCAAGGTTCAGAATAACCGAATGTCTGTCAGCTTATACATATGTTTATATGTAGATGTTATAGGCTAGATAGGTTTGTGTTCTTAGAGGGTACAACTCCAACCCTATATCTCCCCTATACTCACTTCTTCTAGTTCATTTTGTTAAGCTAACATGGTATTCAAGTAGGTTAGGTCCGCCCACCCGCTTCCGCCCTCGCCCAAGCCTACCGCCCCGTCAAACCCTAGCCGTAGCGCGCCCCGCTGGTACTTAGGGCCCCGACAACCCCGCTCCCACCTGCTGGTCCTCTACGCGCCTTGCCGCCCCTTAGCGCCCCGCCGGCCTCTAGCGCCCCGCCGGCCCCTAGCGTGCCCGCCGGCCCCTGAGTGCCTCGCCGGCCCTTAGCGCCTCGCCGATCCCTTGCGTACCTCGCCGGCCCCTTGCAGGCCTTGCCGGCCCTTAGCGTCACGCCGTCCCTTAGCGCCTCGCCGACCCCTCACGTGTCTGCTGGCCCCTCGCGTGCCCGCCGGCCCCTCGCGTACTCGCCGGCCCCTCGCGTACCCCGCCGGCCCCTTGCGCCTCGCCGGCCCTTAGCGCCCCGCCGGCCCTTCGCGCCCCGTCGGCCCCTCGCGTGCCTGCTAGCCCCTTTAGGCGCCCCGCCGGCCCTAGGCGCCCCGCCAGCCCCTCGACCCCCCTTCCCCCCCCCCCCCCCTGGCCCTAGCGCTCCGCCAGCCCTTGGCGCCCCGCCGCCCCTTTCGAGTCCCGCCGGCCCATCACGCCTCGCTGGCCTACTGCGCGCCCTGGGCCCTGTGCGCCCTGCTGGGCCTTCCGCCCGGTCTTCCCGCCGGAGAGTTCCGTCGCCACGCCGCTGTGTCGTCATGCCGCTGAGTATCTGTATCGCTGTGTCGCCGTGTCGCTGTGCCGCTGTACCACCGTGTCGCTGTGCCGCTGAGCCGTTGTGCCGCCGTGGAGCTATGACGCTGAGGTTGCACAATGGCGGACGCCGTACTTCACCTGGACGCGGAGGGGCACGCGATCGACTTCGCCGCCTGGCTAGTCGATCTTCGCCGTCACCTGACATGTCAGCGCTAGGATGGGCACTCCCTGGCTGTGCATGTTGATGGCTTGCTTCCCCGCCCCCCCCGCGTCTGATCCCCTCCCTGCTGACCCTACCACTGCTGAGAGTGAGGCCTTTTCTGCTGCTGCGCTCGCTCGCGCTGTCAGGGATTCCCGCGATGCCGTAGCGCAGCTCGACATTAGTCATGCTCTTCCCCTGTCTGAGCGTTGCTGTCGCGAACGCCAAGGATTTCCTACATGCAGTAGTTGAGCGCTACTCCATACCCGCCTCCGCCTCTGCTGGCCAGTTGATCCTCCCTATGCTATTCCCCGATCTTTCCACTTTCCCCACTGTCGCTGACCTCGCCACTCACCTTTGTGCACTAGAGACTAGCTACCGCGCCGCTAGCACTACCACCCAGCTCACTGCTTTCCCCCCACCGTTCTGCGCTACCCTGTGCCATATTTGCCATGCGCATGCCTGACTGCTTAGCCACTGCCCGCGACCACTTCCTTAGCCAACACCCTGGCGACCTCACGCTGACCGCCTTTGTTACTGCCCTGTCTGTGATAGAGACTCGCCAGCGCGCTATCGCTCAGTCAAGCGGTGTTGCGGCAGTCCCTATCTTTCTGGGTTGTGCTCCCTCCCAGTGCACGTACGCTAATGTTTCAGCCGCGGTCGCTACGGCCGCCCCTGCCGCTGAGAACGCAGCTGCGGTGTCCCCGCAAATACGACCGCGTCGGGGCCGTCGTGGCCTTAAGGGAGGGCGTGGTGGTGGTGGTGGTGGTGGTGGTAGTAGTGGTGGTGGCGGGGACAGTGGTTCTGACGAGGGGGTTGGGGCTGGTGTCCAGTAACAGCAGCAGCAGCCGCAGCCGATGCAGCAGCAGCAGTCGTAGCAGCAGCAGCAGCCGTGGGCCCGCCTCGCGACAGGGTGGCCATGAGCCTCTGGAGGTGGTGGCCGCGGTGGCGGTCCTCGCAGCTCGGCATCTACAGGCAGCTTCGGTGCTGTGAGCTGCCAGTACCCGCTCCAGACTGGCCCCTTCCGTGGCACTGTGTCCCGCCGCCCGCACCCGACCGCTCGCTGCTTCCGCCGCCTCAACGGCCTCTTTCGTCGCCGCTTTGGCCCGGCCCCGGACCTCCCTGACTGGCCCACTCTGTTGCGCCACGGTGTGCCTATTTTTGAGTTAGACATGGATGTGATTAGTTCTGCCCTGCATTCTCTGTATGCTGACGCTTCTAGTGTGTCCGGATCTTATTACCCTGTGTTCTCTAGCTTAGGCGTAACACATGTGTGTAGTACAGCCTCCCCTGCTGCATCAGGCGTAGAACCGTTTGCCTTGTCTAGCCTAGGCTCCATGTTCGCTCCTCCTTCGACTTCCACTACTGCTTCGCTATCCTTCACACTTGACTCCGGTGCGTCTGCATGCTTCTTCCACGACCACGCCACACTCACGCCGCTTGCTGCGCCTGTCGCCATCGCGCTTGCTGACCCCTCCTCTCGTCCTGTCGTTGCTCGTAGCTACACTACCCTTCCCTGTCCAGCGGTTCCCTGTACAATGTCGTACAATGGAATGACGAGGCAAGATATAGGAACACCAGAGCAATCCTAGCCACGTGATCGAACAGGTTCGTTGAGGGCATCCGAGGACGCAGAGCACTTCGGGCCGAAGCTAGGGCAGATGTCGGTGCCGTGTGGGGTTGATGTACGCGGTAGCAGTGTGGCGCGCTAAGGAATGGAAAATTCGTTACACTAACCCCCCTCTAGCGAAGGTGGTCTATATTTGCGACGTGCTTGCGGGATAAATAATCCCGGATTACAGTAGGTGACTCTACCTGTACCGAGGGAACCCACGTGTTGTCCTCACTTGTACGACGAGTCCATCGTATCAGGAAGTCAACATGTCGTTCTTGACCGTTGATTCTTACGTGATGGCTCAGGATCTTCGCTGGTTCGATGAGCATTTCTTCGGTTGGCCGAAGATCCTAGGCGATTGGCTGCCGGGCGACGTTTGATGTGTCGGCCACAAAAGGACGAAGGAAGCTTACATGTAATGAGTTACTGTATGAATTTTCCAATCGTCGGGCAGACGGAGTTGGGCGGTCATTAGTGTGATCATCTTGACGATTTTGAATGGTCCACAGTAAAGGGGTCAGAGTTTTTGCGGTATCTGAAGGCGAAGGTTTTTTGTGTCAAGGAGGACTAGTTTCCATACAGTCAAGGTAATATCTTGTCTGTGGCGGTCGGCGTATTGGCGAGCAGTGACATTGGCTTTTCATATAAATTCGATGGCTTTCGTGTGGGCGGTTTGAAGGTCTTCGACGAACTGCTGCGAGCGGAGGACTTGGCTTTCGACGTTGGTGGAAATGAGTACTTTCGGATCCATCCCGTAATTCAGGAAAATGCAAGTGATTAGTCGTGGCGGAGGGTGCATTGTTGTAGGAAAACTCAAGCATCGGTAGCAAATCTTCCCATTTGCTGATGTCCGGGCAGCTCGTGCGAATCAACTGTTCCATGGTCTGATTCGTCCGTTCTGTCTGACCGTCGGTTTGCGGGTGATAGGCGGATGAGAACTGTAGGCGGGTGCCCTATCGGTTCCACGTGTCTTGCCAAAAGCGCGAGGTGAATTTCGAGTCTCTGCCACTAATGATCGCCGTAGGGATACCATGCAGGCGAATGATGGCCAAGATGAACAGCCGCGCGGTTAGTAATTCATGAAGTAGACGATATCTCGGAACCCAAATTCGTTCCGTTCCCGCTTTCACATAATAGGGCTTCCCCCGCGGTCGTGATCTGCCAGTGGCCATTGTTAACTATTAAGGGATCGGTCGAATATCCGTGGGTAAATAGTCCGCTCAGCAACGGGTCCGTCTGGGTGATTGGTACAGCGTCGGTTTGGGCAGATGGTCTGGAGAGGGCGTCAGCAATGTTGTTGGCACCCTTCTTGTACGTGATTCGATACGTGAAGTTCGACTCCACGTAATCCAACCAGCGAATCTGCCATGGGTTGAGATTCGGCTGCGTGCGCAGGTACTGTAGGGATTTGTGATATGTTCGTACAGTCACGTCGGCTCCCGTCAGGTAGCATCTCCAGATCTTGAACGCGTGCACGATCGCCAGCATCTCTTTGTCGTGTACAGGATAATTCCGCTCGGCCGACTGTAACTTTCGCGACTCATACGCGATTGGTTGAAGGCCGTCGCCAAAATCCTGTAGCAGAACTGCTTCGATTGCGATATCACTTGCGTCTGTCACGACCTCGAATGGTCGTTCTGGGTCAGCAATCTGAAGTACTAGTGGCGAGATTAAAATAGTTTTTTATCCATCAAACACAGCTTGCTGCTTCTCCCCCTACTGATAATCAACGCCCTTATGAAGTAGGTCAATTAGTGCCCCACGTTGGGGATAAACCGGCGCACATAATTGACGAACCCCAAAAACAATTGCACCTCCTGGAGGTTGGTCGACGGCTTCCATTCCTGAATTCCCGAATTTCGCGTGGGTCAATTTTCACGCCTTTCGTCGAAATAACGTGCCCCAAAAACTCCAATTCGGGTTTTAAAAACTCGCACTTCGAGCCTTTGGTGATGAGACGATTTTGCTGCAGGCATTGAAAAACTGCTTCCAGGTCCTTTAAGTGTTGCTCCTGTGTTGTGCTGTAAATCATTATGTCATCCAGATAAATGATCACACATTTATCGAGTAGATCCCGGAATACCTCGTTCATCGTCAGCTGGAACGTCGAGGG